TTTAGTATATAGAAAAATCTCTACAAAGACTAATTGACTTCAGTGTACACTATGAGAATATCTTGTTGAATTTGTATCTTGCATGGATACAGACGGACAAATGGATGGACGGATATAGAGATGGAATGAATACGTGAAAACACGTGTAAACACGTACACATACATATGATGATAATGTAAGGAAGGGTGAGTCGGCTATTTGCTACTTGAGAAATGTAAAAGGCCTATCCACCCGTCCACTATTCCTCTCTTCTCCCCATTTTCTTTCAATATAACTCAAGCAATTCTCTCATCACACTCTCATCTTCCTTCAATTTTTCACCTTTTCCAGCACCCTCTTCCTCTCTCTCTCTTCCTAACAACTAACACTCTTCACTCCCCTTATTGTCTATGTATTTGTCAATTAGTCTACCTCAATCGGTATAATGGTACCATCTTAGCTAACCAATATTCGAATTTCGATGCTTCACCTTTGCATGAATGACAGTCTTGAAGGATGTCCGTCCTTCTCATCTTTGTCCCTTATCCCATTTCCTATGTCCTGTCTCTTTCTTGTCCTCTGTCCATTTGCCTTCCTTGTCACATTGAACCTCCTCTGCTCGGTGATAATTCTCATTCAAGTGTTATTTCTCTTATAGTTGATAGTAACATGTCATTGACACAACCGATTATATGATTATAATAGAAGAAACTATCGTAGAACTGTCATTGTGAGAAAGCAAAAAAAAAGGAAAAAAAATTAAAATCGAGAAAAAAAAATCGAGAGATTAAAGGTCATGTTAAAGTTTTACTATTTGACCTCACATACTTTCATTATTTTTTCACCCTTTGTTAAACTTCATCTCCATCCTCAAAAAAAAAAACTTAAATAGTTTTGAGTAATACGTGTTAACTTTACGCAATGCTAACATACTATCAAACATATACCATTCAATTCCAATAAACTCTATCAAAATTCACTTTTTAAATTTTATAATTCTCCTAAAATTTCGAATTAATCTTTTGTTTTACTGTCATGTATAACAATATTTATCATATCATATCTTTACTCATATATTGTGATAATTTCCCTATGCTAAAAACCGGAATAATTCTTCCGGATGTAATCAGATGAATAATCTCAATATGTGACAGATATGACATCTATTCACATAATCTCTAATCTAACTTACCATCTCAAACCAACATAATTTCGTTAATTTTACTTCAACAAAAAGACGAAACAACAGGAACCGGTCGACTCCAATCACACTGTCATATATATACATATATATGTTAATATATATACATATATATGTGTGTGTGTTGTGTTATGTGTGTGTGTGTGTATGTGCTTCCCTCTCTCTCTCTCTTCTTCTTCCTCCCCCTCTCCCTCTCTTTATTAGTTAGTCTCAGGAATGATTTTATCCTACCAATAGTTTGGGGCGAATCTAACGAAATGATTTTGAGCAGCCCATTGAGAGAGCATATCTACTCTATATATACTCCATTTTAATTGGCTACCACAATGATTCCCACTCTTCACATCTTTTTTCCCCCCGCTCCCCCGCTCATCTGGAAATGGTTGGTGACTATCCTGAAGTGATCATTAAGAGATTTCGAACATCAGCATAATAAACAGGATATAATAATGTTATAATAAGGATGATATGAAATGGTTGATATGCCTATCAGGAGATATTCGTTGGTGATCGTTAATGAGCTTAATCATCAATCAATAATGTCTTCAATGCTATAGAATTTATCACTTTCTTTTTTCCCCCCGTCATACCTTGATATTGAGATATCTTGATCTTGATTTACATAAGATATCGATCAAATTTGACAATATTCATGGAAATGGCAAATATCTAGTTAAACGTACCTTAAAATGAGATTTTTGATTCAAAAAATACTAAAATATCATATCAGTTCCCTATGATAATCTTATTTGTCTATCATCCTGAAAGTTTGCAAAATATTAACCAATCCTTTTTTTGCATTTTGGGATAATTTCAAAATTTTCAAAAGTAAAACTTTCATTGAATTAATTGAAATTTTACTGAGTTATATGCAGAAATGAACATTTTAAAGATGATAAGGAATGATTCAACGATTCAAAGACTTGCTTACAATAAATCAAATTTTACATAAATGTGATATCGAATATTACGAAAGAATTCAGTGATGAAATCACAATTATTTATCATGAAAGCATACTTTCAGAACTAATATACTCTTCCAACTCTCATCTGCTTTTCCTTTTTTCCAGCTTTTATTCCCTTTTAATGTCAATCCTAATTTAACAATGAAAAAAAAAGGAAGAAAAATGAAAACTTGATAATGAAGGATTTTGAATTTAGACAGATTACAAAACATAATGAAGATAATAATAATAATAATGATAGTAACTAATAATAATAATAATAATAATAATAATAATAATAATAATAATAATAATAATAATAATAATAATAATAATAATAATAATAATAATAATAATAATAATAATAATAATAATAATAATAATAATAATAATAATAATAATAAT